TATATATATATATATGCATACAAAAGAAATTAATTTTTTAACTATACATTTAACTGGGCTTCCCGTTAGATGGGATTTGTCAATCTTGTCACGTCTTGCTTCAGACGCAGGTAAAGGTACTAAATGGTTGGCATATATATGTATACATTATAAAAATATTTCAAGATGAAGGCATATGTCAGGAGATTCCACATTATATACCATAGAAGATCCATTTGAAAAAAAAAACATGCCTCAGACACATTACCCATAGGATACATCTGTGAAACTCAGACAGAGTCAGAGTAGAGGTACATAATATGTCTTATTAATTAATGTATAAATGCTCCCATCAACATTGACCGCTCTTCAAACTTTTCATATGTATATGAACGTATTTCAAGATGACAGCGGATTGGTGTTTTTATGTAAAAGAAAATTAGAATAAATAAATTTATATACTTTCATCTAGCGGGGTCATAGCAGAAAGGTTTGCAAATGTGTACAGGGCGGCGCTTGAAACGGTGGGATACAACGGAAGGTCAGTGAGCAATGACATTAAATCAAGCCATTCTCGCTCCAGTGAAAAGAGAGGACGCAACAGAAGAGTTATTTGGTTCAACCCACCTTACTTAAAAAACGTTAAAACAAATATTGGTCAATTCTTCCTCCAGTTGTTAGAAGAGCATTTTCCACGTGGAAGCAGACTTAACCGAATATTTAACAGATCCACAGTAAAAGCTAGTTACAGTTGTATGAAGAGCATGTGGCAGATTATTCAGGGCCATAATAAGCAAAATACTAAAAAATATATCAGTAAGTACTCAAGATAAAAAAAAAATGCAATTGTAGATTTCAAAACAAGTGTTCTTTGCGAGGGGAATTGTGTCTAGCAATATTGTTCCAAACAAGTCACAAATGCTTTTGTTCTGTTTGCGCCCCTGACGATTTATGTCAGCAAGTTCTCAAGATAAAAAAATGAAATTGTAGATTTCAAAACAAGTGTTCTTTGCGAGGGGAATTGTGTCTAGCAATATTGTGCACCAAGCAAGTCACAAAAGCTTTTGTTCTGTTTGCGCCCCTGACGATTTAGGTCAGCAAGAACAATAAGATAATAGGAGAATGAGATTCTTTACCAACAATCCAAAAGGATAAATAAATAAATAAATAAATAAATAAATAAATAAAATCATCTATATTTTATAACTCTCAAGAAAAGTTATATTGTATTATGCCATACTAATCCTTTGAGTAATGGCGTTGTGCTCACTCGTGAAGTTAAAACAGCTCCATGGTTCTCATTGAGACAGGTTATGAAGAAGACTGTCTTGTACTGACATCTAATCACCCTTCCAGTTTGGATCGTTCAAGTTTTACATGTGATGTTCCAAGCTCCGAAGGGCCATGGCTCTTGTCTATTAACATTGCATTAACTTGTTCATCCACAGTGAAATCCAATAACTGCATGACTCCTTTTCAGTTGGTGTCTTTGAGCACATTTTAAAAAAAATTATAGGCCTAAATATATATAGTAGTACGGTATAGTAGTAGGCTGGAGTCGTACGATAGACTGCCAAAAGTCAGAGAGGAATTTGCTTTTGGAGATCTTCAGTGTTTAAACATTGAAGATCTAGCATTAAGACTATCGTTGAATAAGAGAATTAAAAAAAGGACCGACGAAATTAAGGCATGGTAACCATCCCGGTACCGGCATGTGGACAGTAGAGATGTATTGATTTAATTGAACTTCTAGTCCGTGTCCCGTAGCTTCTCTGATTCACTTTGTCGAAATAAAAACTCTCTGTCACATAGTACATGTAGGCCTACCAGGATTGGGGTATGCCTATACATCTTAAAGTCAGGGTGGAAAAACGCGTCTGTAACGATCTGCTGAAGTTCTAGCCAGCCTGTTTTATGATCTGAGTATCAAAATCAAACTTGCTGTATTTGAGGGATTCGTCCCGTCCAAGTCGTCCAACGGGGGCGCAGCACACGTTGGTTTTGGACGGTGACAATAAGTTCACATGGCAGCAGCTGTGGGCATCGTTGTATGCCAATAAAAGAAAGGTCCAAAATCCAAACAATGAAAGGATGGACAAATTGGCCATGAGAATGACTGCAGCCAAAAGCCGCCCGTGCTTCAGCAGTGTTATCCTAGCTAATCCGTCGGTGATGCGTCACGCATCCTAGGAGTTTGTTTTTTCACTAAATTTTTTTTAAATCCTCGAAGAAGGCCTAGGGTCCGAAAGCTTGGATGACATATTACATCTTTAATGTAGATCTTCAAAGATGCACCAGTGTTTTAACTTATTTACTTCTTTAAGATCTTTAATTGCGGTGATTTGAAATGAATCTTCGATGTTTTCAAAGGCACATTGCGTCGTGATGTGAACAGTGCAGATGCGACACATCGCCGCAGACTCAACTGAAACAATCGACGTACCTGCAGTTAGGTCTTCTTCATCGCAATAGCAAGAAGTCGAAATGTCAATAAGACACACAGATTTAACAGAATCGTCTCATGTGTTGTGTCCTAAAATTACACTACACTGTGCTAAGATGCGGTGAACTGAAAATACCAGCGTTTTCAACATCATGACGCTTTACGTGTTGTCTACGTCGCTGGTGCCCACGCTTCGCTCGAGGCAACGCATAGAAACGAGCAATTTTTTAATATCATGGAGATTTTTCATTTGTATTTCTGTCAGTATTTCTAACCCAAGATATTACTGGAAAAAATCTCTCTCTTTTTTTTTAGAATTAACTTTTAGAAGCATAAGATTTTAAAAAGGGTTTCCCAGCTTAACGCATCTCTAATGGCTGAATAAAAGTTAATTTTCAATTTTTTTTATTATATGCATGCCTCTGCCCGTTACTGAAAAAGTGACTGGAAATGGCAGATTTATGCTTAGAGAATAGTGTTTAAATTCACCTGTGAGAATTCAGTTGAACACCATTCATTAGATAAAGCCACGACTGTCACCTGAATCGTGAAAACATGAAACAACAGAAATCGAGAGCATTGTTTCTAGATAAAACTGCAATATTCAATTAATAGGCCTATTTTAGAAACATTTTCAAACAGTAATTTTTGTTTCGAAAGAGAAAGAAAATATTTTGCAGAAATATGGCAATTCCAGGAGTTGTAGCCTATGCTATAACGTCAATCAACTGTTGTTACTGAAAGAAAAAAAGAAAGAGATTCTCGACTATTATCGACATAAATTCACGTGGATGATCTTTTTTTAACACACGAGGGCTTGGAATTGGTACAGAATATTTTGCAAGTAATTTTTCCTACTTTCTTTCCTTTCTACTTCAGTAGTCATTTTTTTTTCATAATCAAACAGGTGGTTATGTGTAGAATAAGATTCTAATAATTCCTCTTCATTTTTTAAAATTATTCCCATACCCTTCCTTAACCGTCCCTTTGGTGTCTGTATTATTATTTATTTAGGCTTATTTGTTTTCGTACAGATGCACCTCGCGCATTTTAAAAATTGGACCTTATATTTGAGGATTTTTTTCATACCTATTTATCTATTTAAATGGAAAAATGTTTTGGTTTGATAAGTGGGAGGAATTTTGCAATGGAAACTTGAAAAAAAATCAATGCCGATGTTTTATGCTACGAGCTTGCCCTGTAAATTTGACATTTCCACTCCACCCCACCGTACCCTCAAATTAAAATTGAAATACACACGCACACACACACACACACAAACAGACACCGACCATCCCCAGGCCCGTAGCCACTGCAGTTATTTCAGAAGGGGCGGGGTCCCTTTTCTCCCTTTTGCCATAAAATCATCGTTCAATTTTTGCCCAGAGGGGACCTTTCGCGTGGCCGGCAAAAAGGGCGGTGATCATTCGACCCCCCCCCCCCCTCCCTTCCCTCGACCCCTACTACGGCTTTGGGCCTCAACCTGAAATTTAGCTGTTAAAATATGTTTTCACAATATTAGTATACCGGACCTGTAACGTTTTTGTATTTATGATTATATCATCCATATTTAATTATCAATTCTATTTTATTTTGGTCCCTGTGTCCCCTTTGATGTTATCCCATGTCCCGCTTTGTAAGGCAATGTTGCTCCGTTGTTATCAGTGTGCGCTGACTATTGAAACTAATATATCATTATTTGCCATCGGGGATATGTTTACTTGTCCTCTCCAGCAGTGTTGACATAAATAGTGTCTATTAGGACACGCGTGGGCTACGTGTTTTCATTCATACATGATTCAGATGAAGTTTGAGATGAGTACGGTTTTTCGCATAGAAGATCTAGGCTTTGAAAAACAAAGAAAAAAAAATTCAGACGATTTCTAGTAGGCCTACTACAGAATGATTAACCGACTGCTACAGAATGATTTTTTCAGTTTACAACTCGTGAGGATAAAAAGTTAATTCTCAAAACAAATATATGTTTATAAGGCAATTTTTCACATCAAATGCTGCTCCCCACCCCGCCTACTAGGCCTAGGTACGAGTACCTGATCCCAAGATACAGGAATTAGGCCTACAGGTAGACTCTTTGTGTCTACACGGTGTGTTTCGGTGCAACATCCGAAATTATCATCTTTAAACAAAGATTGGCATCGTAAATGCTTGTTCTGGTATGCAGCAAGCACGGTATTTCACCAACTTATTGTTTTAATAGGCACATTTGAGCGAAAACATTATGAAGCAGGAAAAGGTTGTCTGCTAGAAGTGACGTAAATAGGTCAGTCCCATAATCCCTCATTGCTCATGTCCGCCATATTGAGAGTTGTGACAGAGAGATCTCTCAGAGGATGTGGTATTTTATCAATTAGAGCTGTTCTTAACAGCGTGAGACAAAATTCCGGTCAGAATTGGACAGGTTTGCTGATATGGAGGTGGGTTGAGCTACAAAGGTACTGTAGTATTACGTTTGGACTTTGAAAACAGCGAGAACGTGACTAATTTTCTTCAGCAGCAAGTCTCGCAGTCAGTGCGAGTTGTGTCTGTTGAGCTTGGTTCAATTTGGTTACCAGTAAAAATGGCTACCCAGAATAATTCAGACCTTCTGGTATCTGGTTCTACATCAGAACCAGGTAGTGGCGTTGTAAAACCTACTGAAAATCACGTTGGAGTGCCTCAAGTAGGGTCGGAGGAAGTCGTACCCAGTGAGGAGGGCGGAGAGAAGGGCACCATTGGGAATAAAAAGAGGAGCTCTTTCCAGATTACCAGTGTTAAAATAGCCAAGTCAAATCGCCAGGCAAATGACACAATCAATGAGGGTGATGCTGATTCTATAGACGAGCTAGAGGAAAGTCACACTGAGGATCTGAGTTCAGAATTACTGGATAGTTCCAAAGTTACTGAGATTCATGATGGGAATGAATCCTCTGATGAGGAAACCACTACGGATCAGCAGTTAGAAATTGAGGGGGAGAACAAGGAGACTGCCTCGAGATTCAAAGTGGTGAAAATTGCCAGCAAAGAGCCATTTTGCAGGGGCAGGTGGTCATGCTTTGATTTTCTCGACCCTCCAGTAGTGGAGAAAATGGACGGGGTAGGAGAGGGATCCGGGACTGGGTCCGGTAACTCAAGTGCTGCAAGCTCCGTGCATTATATCCCAGGTGTTGATGACCCAACCAAAAATCCCTTCAACCCCCTCAGCCCAATCAAAAGTCCTCCTAACAGTATGGAAATGATGGTGCCTGTTATATTACAGACTGAGCATCACAATGTTATCGTAGTCCCACAGCCAGTGTACGGAATGGGTGAGGAGCACTCGGTTATTAATGAAACTGGTGCATTGCCCCTCAGTATGAACAGTCACAGTATTGGAGGACAGAATGGGGCCATGACTCAAACTGTGCCAAGTACGGACTATCCTCAGCCTCCCATAGCGTCCTTGCACCTATCAATGCCACAGGTACAGGCTGCCGAAGGAGGCGGCTATGCTCAGTCAAATCAACCAGTATTAGGCACACAGAATAGCAATTTTATCCCAGTCGGTGGAGGTCCGGGTGGAGGTCCATCATCGCAACAACAGCAACAGCAACAACAAGGACAACAGCAGCAACAGCATTATCACCAGTCACAAGGCCCTAGTGGCCAGGTAGCTTCACAGTCACAACAACAACAACCCGTCAGCAGTAGTCAGCAACAGCAACAGAATGCAGCAGCAGCAGCAGCAGGCCAAATGTTACAACAGCAACAACAGCCACAGCAGCAACAACAACAACAACAGCCAGGTGCCACTGGTGGTTCAGCATCCCAAGCTGGTGTACAACAGCCACCCCCACAACCGCAACAACAACAGCAACTACCCCCAGGGACAGAGGGCTTGGTACCCCAGGGGATCCCACCCAACCAACCCCCCTTGCAAGGCTCGGACCCTTCAGCTCCACGCAAACCCTCATCCCAGGCGCAAGGGACCCAGGACTCAGACGACTTACAGCAGATGGTGCCCGCCATGATGACAGGGAATGCTGGGTACCCTCTCGACGGCACCCCTGCCACTGACATGGATGGGAATCAGCTGAGTATTGATGTAAAAGAAACGGCAGCACAGACGGCAGCAGTGCTGACGCCGCCATTGTTGGAGGTGATGGGGACAGCTATTGGTCCACTGGCAGGCAGCACCGAGACCAAAGGCGAAGAAGGCGATGAAAGGTAGGTTGTTGCTCATGTGCTTGCTTGTGTTTCTTATCACATTTTTTAACACCAAAGATAGAAGAACATTGTGTTAGAAATCTCAGCTCTCCCCCCCCCCTCCCGAGCACACATGCGGATGTGGGTATACTTACACTCATATACAAATGCGCACACACACACACACACACACACACACACACACACACACACACACACACACACGGGCACCACCTCCTTTACAAATGCTTTCACATTCTTATTCTGATACTTCTACAACACACAGAGAGCTTAATTGCTCATGTTGCTGCCATTTCGTTAAGTAACAAATAGCAGACAAAATGTTACTTGAACCCATTTGCAGGCTTTTTATGCTGCAATATATATTTAAGGCCAACATACTAAAAAAAGAACAGATTACAACGTGATACAATGCATTGATACATCCTACATCGTAACTGCCACATATATCCTATTTAACATGCCCAGCTATGTGAATAAACAGTATAGGAGCTTATTTCCCTTAATCCCAACAGCTAGGGAGATTAGTGTCTGAAAGCTACGTCTCCCTCTGGAATGTGAATTGTGTGTTGATTTTGTTAATTTGATGGTTACATGTATATGTAAATATACACAGGAATGTGTATTATGAAGTATGATGTATTCTAGTGTGTGTATTTCACTGTTGCATCTCCCCTGTGTTTTGTATTTATTTGCAGGAGATAGAGTATGTGTCCTTGGCTCACTTTAGTTCAGGGTAAATTTCAGCCAAATGCTGAACGTATATCTTTTAATTTGGTTGAGGAAGATCTTTTTATAAGTGAAAATTCTCATTGATAATTAAAGGTTATAACATTTAATATGACTTTAATTAACTTACTACTTAGATTCTATTCCAGGGTTATCCAGATTATAACCTTTTTTATCAGTAAGTTAAAACCATTCTGATTCCATGTGAAATTATTTGCTTATTTGACTTAAAGAAATTTTTCCGAAAGTGAACCAAGGTATCCTCTTTTTAATTGCCCAGTAAATTCCATTCCTCATTATCATCAATATTTCAGGTTCAAACAATCCTTTTTTTCAGCAGAAAGTGCAATTACAGTATCAGCAGTGGTTTGAGAATGTTACATATAACCGAGTTAACAGAATCCTACACATTGTCTGTAATGAATAAATAAGTAAAGGATGTGTGAATGGGGTCACAGCTGTATATGTGTCTGTGATCAATGAAGTCTTGTGCATGTACATATGTGTGATGGTGGCTGTACATATGTATGTATGTATGTATGTATGTATGTATGTATGTATGTATGTATGTATGTATGTATGTATGTATGTATGTAAGGAAATGTACTAGTATAGTCTGTCTGTGTGTAGGTCTGCCGGTCTCCCCTTTGGCCCTATTGTCAATAATTTTGTCTATCTGTCTGTCTGTTTATCATTCTGTCTTCCTGCCTGTCTGTCTTTCCATTGTCCTTCTGTTTTTTTATTCATGTATATATATATATGTTTATGCATTGATATGTATATATCGGTTTGCAGAAGTCTGTCCCTATCTGATTTTCGGTGACTATACACTTTGCATTCATTTGTATGCCCGCCTGTCTGGATTCTCATGTGTACAATGTTTAATACATTGGCAGGTGAACACTACAGGTGTATAGTGCATGTCTGAATGCACATGGGTATGGGCAGGTGTAGAGTACATATGTATGTCTGTCAAAAATGATGTGCAGGCATGCACTTGCAGAGTGCAAGTATTATGAATAAAAAATGGTATTCTTTGGAAGAATGTCTTTTGGTAAATGAATGAAGATTATGGTGGTGTTTTTTTTTAATGTAAGGTCAGAGTTTTGTAGGCGTGTGAAGCCAAAGATCTGAAGCTAAATTTTGACACTTTGTGGTCTGGTTAGTTTTTAAGGTCCTGATTGTTTTTTAAATAGAAATAAAACAGGTCTCTGATCAGTGGACCCCAAATTCAGTTTTTATCTTCATATTGAGTGTTGTTAATAAAGATAGTCGCAAAAGCTGAAATGACCATAAAACAGAGCAAAAAATCTTTGTCTTTTTTATTTTTTCCCCAAAAATCTGTAGCTGTTTTAAAAAGAAAGACATATATGATGGTATTAGACCTGTATGTTACATAATGTTGTGTAGTTAGTTCATCATGCAGGAGTGAGAAATAAAAAAAAATATCTTGAAATAAGAAAAAAAGAACCTCAGTTCTGTAGTGATTCACATTGAGTTAAATTGAGCATGTATGTCTTACATTCTGTAAGGTGTGGATTGCAGTAGAATATGGCATGAAGTCCTCACTTATGTCATCTTACAAGGATGTATCTTTGCAAAGCTGTTTTGTGGTCTGCTGTTGATTCCTCGCTTCTGGTGCAAGCTAAGGCTCAAATTGAGAAGATTCTTGGCTAGAACTTGATCTAGTCTTACTGTGTAATTTATTAGACAAGGAAAGCAGTGGGAGCATTACCAAAGACTTGAATAGTTTGTGCCTGATGCTAGGATCAGCTTGGTTTATGTATTACAGTGTGCTGGTACTTAGCAGAATTTTGAATTATTTTCCTGCATTTTTCAGTTAAGTACCACGATCCTCAGATCTAATGATCGCTAGCTTTTCATCTCTAGATCTCTGCAATGTACAAGTAAATGATCCCTTATTTAAAAATAAAGCTGTCCCACATCGAATCTGCAATGCCTGTTAGATTTTACATGAAGTAGGATAAATCCATGGGTTGAAGCAGAACTTAAAATATCTGTGGTGCTTATATGACCCCAGTTGAGGCAGCTAAAAAGGACTAAGCCACATTAATGGGTTTCGTTTCTTTACTTTTAAAGTGGAAATATGAGTTATTGTAAGCTCTGTTGAACTCTGTTGAATTCAACATGCTGGTATCAACAGACCACTGCATAGTTTTCTTATGTATGTCATGTTGGCTGTACTTGAACAAGAATTTGTGGTAGTGTCTAAGTCATGAAAAACCAGCACCTTCCACAAAAAGTGTTTTTTGGTCACATACCCATAGAAACTATTTGTGGGCAATTTTTGAGGTAATTTGTTATCTAATAAACAGAGGCAAATGGACATATATGGATAAAATAATGCTGATGAAAAGGTAATCCCTGTTCATGATGGAGGTCTACATAGGTTACATCTAGCATTGTTTGAATTAAGTCTTCTTTAACACTAACTGCAGGAAGTAGACCACTTGATTGCTAAGTGTGTGGGTCAGGATAGCAAGCTTTGTTAGAAATTAATGTTTGTTGTGAATTCAAAACAGAAAGAATGAGTAGCTTCCCAAAAATGTTTTGTTATTAATGCCTAAAATGTTCATTTAGATGTTTTAAAAAAAGTTAGTTGGTTTAGTGTTAGCATGTACATTTTGCATATAACTAAAGGTGATCAATCTTACTGCATATAGAAAACAGAAATTTCTCTTTAAAAGCTTGTAGTTCTTTTTATTTTTCATTTTCTCTTTTTTTGGCAAAGGGGTCCTTGATGAGCAAACAATTATCATTCATTGACGCAATTCTCTTCAGTGAACTGTGAAATGGTGCAACAGTTGATGAGAAATGAGGATTGATTTAATGAGAATAGCATCTGTGAAGTTGTGATCTAGTCAGAGAGATATGTCATGATGTCTGTGAGTACATTCTTTCACCTACTGAACTTTTCATATGCACTCAAAGGGAAATGTAACACTCAGAGGAGTTTCCTTTTTGTGATCATGTGATTTATGCTGCTTCCATGCTGGAATTTTGTAAAATTCATCTTCATAGTTATCATGTTATACACCAGGGGGCAGTATTTTCCAAGAAATGACAGATTAACATTTTTTTTGTACATTGTCTGATATGTTAATACTAGGTCATAGCCAGATCATTATTTTTAATATTTTTAAAAAAAGTGATGGAATTGAGATCATTTAAAAAGTTTTTATTTGGAAACCTTCAAATAGGTGGATATTTAACTTTTTCTTTTAAACATTTAACTTGCAGCCTTTGGTATATTATAAGCTGGTCTCATTGTGCCAGTATAAGAATTTGTCTGTCTACCACTCAAAATGATTTACCCATGTTATTGAAAATAAAATAAATCTGACATTATTCACTGACACCTTGCTGGGCAGCTTATTCAAATAAAGGTGAAAAGGGAAGGCTGTAATGTACCTTTATTGATACAAGATCATGTTAAATAACATGCAGTAGCAATTCCATCATGGTCAGTATTTGTCTGCAAATTCCACCCAAACCTCACCTTTGCTGCCTGCAGGTATTTGTTGATTTATATCTGCTGTTCAAAGGGTCATTTAGGTTAGTGACTAAAACTGTACTATGGTTGAAGTGTTTACATTTATATGTATCCTTGTAAACAGGTATAATGTCAAAGTGACATACTGCCAAAAAGTACCACTTTGGAACATGGAATGGTGTCTGTTTGTGTGTGGTTGGGGTGGGGGGGGGGGGGGGATCTATCAAAATGATACTGAAGGTAAAGGTTATATAACATAGTAACCAAGTCTTCTTTGTATGGAATGGGTTAGATACTGATTATCTGAAGAGGTATGGGGGAGGGGTCTTTATGTCTTTTTACCAGTAAGACTAAAAGATTTGAAAAATGGCCATTGGCTATGGAATTAAGGTACAAGTATGTCAGCTGAAAGTGGATATAAAACATGAATATTTAAGCCTAAAATGATTGTGGGCATTCCTGGCCTTATGATAATTAACACAACATACTTCACCTCCCAGGGCCAAGTTTTATGTCTCATCTCACAAACTTGTAGATAGAACTGTGTGTTGCGATATATAGGAGCCAGTAAATAATGGCAGGAATAGGTGGAATTAGTGAGAATGTGAGGCATGGTTATGGCTGTTTTGATGCTTGGAGGTGGGGTTAATGGGATGATTGGAATGTAGAGGGACAAATATTGCAGCATTATTTTGCTAGAAATCCCCTGACCAAAATAAATAAATGAACAAATAAATAAATAAATAACAGTAAGTTAGGGT